TCAAAACATCGATTAATTGACAATTCGAAAAATTGAGAGTTCATGAAAAATTTGAAAAATTAAAAAATCGAAAATCTGACAAAATGACAATTGAAAAACAGAAAATCTAAAACCGGGAAGTCGAAACATCAAAAGATTAAGAAATCGAAACACTTAAAAAATTCGAAAACTTGAAAAATTGAAATATCGAAGAACTGAAATGAAAAATCGAATTTTAAGTATTGAAAAATTAAAATATCAAAAAACTGAAAAATCTAAAATTTAAAAATCGAAGAATTGAAAAACCGACAATTGAAAAACAGAAAACCTAAATCCGGGAATTAAAAATCGGGCAAATTGAAAAATGAAAAATGAAAGCCCAAAAATTGAACAAATTAAAATTCAAAACTCGAAAAACTGAAAAATCGAGAAACTGAATACTTTAAAAAATGAAAATTTAAAATTGGACACTAGAAAACTTGTAAATTGAAACAACAAAAAAACTGTAAAATCGAAGAACTGCAAGTCAAAAAATTTCAAAAAATTCCGAAGTCGAAAAATCGAACAATTGAAAATTTTTAAGCTGAACATCCGAAAAAGTGAAAAGGAAAATTGAAAAAATGAAAAATTGAAAAAAGCTAAACTGCAAACCGAAGAATTTGAAAAAATTAAAAATCAAAAAATTGAAACACCCAATTGAAAGAAACGAAACTTTGAAAAACTGAGGAATTGAAAATAGACTAACTGAAAATTGAAAATTTCGAAAAACGATAATTGTAAAATTGGAGAAATGTAAACCGCAAAATTAAAAAAAAATTCAAAAGCCGAAAAATCGAAGAATTAAAACTCAACAAATCTGAAAAATGAAAAAATTTAAAATAAAGAAAAATTTATAAAATTGGAAAACTTCAAAAAATTCCAAAGTCGAAAAATCGAAAATTGAAGAGATGAAAAGTTAAAATATCGAAAAACTAAAAGTCGGGAAAACTGAAAATTGAAAAAACTGAAAAAAGAAAAATTGAATTGAAGAATTACAAATGCAAGAATTCGAAAAAATTCAAATTTGAAAAATTGAAAAATTGAATCCAAACTTATATTGAAAAAATCCCAAAACTGAAATATCCAAAAACTGAGAATCCAAAGAATCGAAAAATTGAGAAATTGAAAAATCAAAAAAGTGAAGTCGAAATATCGAAACCTTAAAAAAAATCGAAAAATTGAACAATCAAAAACCTGCAAAATCGTAAGATCGAAAAATTAAATATCAAGTAAACTGAAAAATCCCAAAACTGAAATGTGCAAAAACTGAGAAATTAAAAAATTGAAAAATTGAGAAATTGAAGAATCAAAAATGTGAAGTTGAAAAATCAAAACAGAAAAATTGAAAAACCAAAAAACCTGAAAAATCAACTAATTGAAAAATCGAAATATTTAAAAATCGTAAAATTGAAGAGAAAAATTGAAAATCGAGAAATTGAAAAATTGAGAAATTGTAAAAACCAAAAATTGAATAATAAATAAACTGAAAAATTAAAAATTTGAAAAATTCAGAAATCGAAGAATCAAAAAAGTGAAGTTGAAAAAGCAAAATAGAAAAATTCAAAAACCAAAAAACCTGAAAAATCAATTAATTGAAAAATCGACAAATAAAGAGTTTATAAAAGTCAAAAATTGAAAAATCGAAATATTTAAAAATCGTAAAATTGAAGAGAAAAACTGAAAATCGAGAAATTGAAAAATTAAAAATTTGAAGAATTGAGAAATCGAAGAATCAAAAAAGTGAAGTTGAAAAATCAAAATAGAAAAATTGAAAAACCAGAAAGCCTGAAAAATCAATTAATTGAAAAATCGACAAATAAAGAGTTTATAAAAGTCAAAAATTGAAAAATCGAAATATTTAAAAATCGTAAAATTGAAGAGAAAAACTGAAAATCGAGAAATGGAAAAATGGAGAAATTGTAAAAACCAAAAGTTGAATAATAAATAAACTGAAAAATAAAAAAATTGAAAAATTGAGAAATCGAAGAATCAAAAAAGTGAAGTTGAAAAATCAAAATAGAAACATTGAAAAACCAAAAAACCTGAAAAATTAATTAATTGAAAAATCGACAAATAAAGAGTTTATAAAAGTCAAAAATTGAAAAATCGAAATATTTAAAAATTGTAAAATTGAAGAGAAAAACTGAAAACCGAGAAATTGAAAAATTGAGAAATTGTAAAAACCAAAAATTGAATAAAAATAAACTGAAAAATTAAAAATTTGAAAAATTGAGAAATCGAAGAATCAAAAAAGTGAAGTTGAAAAATCAAAATAGAAAAATTGAAAATCCAAAAAATCTGAAAAATCAATTAATTGAAAAATCGACAAATAGAGTTTATAAAAGTCAAAAATTGAAAAATCTAAATAATTAAAAATCGTAAAATTGAAGAGAAAAATTGAATAATAAATAAACTGAAAAATTAAAAATTTGAAAAATTGAGAAATCGAAGAATCAAAAAAGTGAAGTTGAAAAATCAAAATAGAAAAATTGAAAAACCAAAAAAAACTGAAAAATCAATTAACTGAAAAATCGACAAATAGAGTCTATAAAAGTCAAAAATTGAAAGATCGAAATATTTAAAAAATCGTAAAATTGAAGAGAAAAACTGAAAATAGAGAAATTGAAAAATTGAGAAATTGTAAAAACCAAAAATTGAATAATAAATAAACTGAAAAATAAAAAATTTGAAAAATTGAGAAATCGAAGAATCAAAAAAGTGAAGTTGAAAAATCAAAATAGAAAAATTGAAAATCCAAAAAATCTGAAAAATCAATTAATTGAAAAATCGAAATAATTAAAAATCGTAAGATTGAAGAGAAAAATTGAATAATAAATAAACTGAAAAATTAAAAATTTCAAAAATTGAGAAATCGAGGAATCAAAAAAGTTAAGTTGAAAAATCAAAATAGAAAAATTGAAAAACCAAAAAAACTGAAAAATCAATTAACTGAAAAGTCGACAAATAGAGTCTATAAAAGTCAAAAATTGAAAAATCGAAATATTTAAAAATCGTAAAATTGAAGAGAAAAACTGAAAATAGAGAAATTGAAAAATTGAGAAATTGTAAAAACCAAAAATTGAATAATAAGAATAATAAGAATTAAAAACTTGAAAAACTGAGAAATCGAAGAATCAAAAAAGTGAAGTTGAAAAATCAAAATAGAAAAATTGTAAAACCAAAAAACCTGAAAAATCAACTAATTGAAAAATCGACAAATAAAGAGTTCATAAAAGTTAAAAATTGAAAAATCGAAATATTTAAAAATCATAAAATTGAAGAGAAAAGCTGAAAATCGAGAAGTTGTAAAATTGAGAAATTGTAAACACCAAAAATTGAATAATAAATAAACTGAAAAATTAAAAATTTGAAAAATTGAGAAATCGAACAATCAAAAAAGTGAAGTTGAAAAATCAAAATAGAAAAATTGAAAAACCAAAAAACCTGAAAACTCAACTAATTGAAAAATCGTAAAATTGAAGAGAAAAACTGAAAATCGAGAAATTGAAAAATTGAGAAATTGTAAAAACCAAAAATTGAATAATAAATAAACTGAAAAATTAAAAATTTGAAAAATTGAGAAATCGAAGAATCAAAAAAGTGATCTTGAAAAATCAAAATAGAAAAATTGAAAAACCAAAAAAACCTGAAAAATTGAAAAATCGAAATATTTAAAAATCGTAAAATTGAAGAGAAAAACTGAAAACCGAGAAATTGTAACAACCAAAAATTGAATAATAAATAAACTGAAAAATTAAAAATTTGAAAAATTGAGAAATCGAAGAATCAAAAAAGTGAAGTTGAAAAATTAAAATAGAAAAATTGAAAAACCAAAAAACCTGAAAAATCAATTAATTGAAAAATCGACAAATAAAGAGTCTATAAAAGTCAAAAATTGAAAAATCGAAATATTTAAAAATCGTAAAATTGAAGAGAAAAACTGAAAATCGAGAAATTGAAAAATTAAGAAATTGTAAAAACCAAAAATTGAATAATAAATAAACTGAAAAATTAAAAATTTGAAAAATTGAGAATTCGAAGAATCAAAAAAGTGAAGTTGAAAAATCAAAATAGAAAAATTGAAAAACCAAAAAGCCTGAAAAATCAATTAACTGAAAAATCGACAAATAAAGTGTTTATAAAAGTCAGAAATTGAGAAATCGAAATATTTAAAAATCGTAAAATTGAAGAGAAAAACTGAAAATCGAGAAATTGAAAAATTGAGAAATTGTAACTACCAAAAATTGAATAATAAATAAACTGAAAAATAAAAAATTTGAAAAATTGAGAAATCGAAGAATCAAAAAAGTGAAGTTGAAAAATCAAAATAGAAAAATTGAAAAACCAAAAGGCCTGAAAAATCAATTAATTGAAAAATCGACAAATAAAGAGTTTATAAAAGTCAAAAATTGAAAAATTAAAAAATCGAAAAAACGAAGAAATTGTAAAATCCAAAAATTGAATAATAAATAGGAGTAAACGAAAAATCCCCAAACTAAAATTTCGAAAAACTGAGAATTCGAAAGTTGAAACCGCAAGAAATTATGATCGAAATCGGTTAGGATGTGTATCAGATCACGAATCATGGCTTATAAATCAAATCGTTTCCGAACGCTTAGAGTCGACATTGGCCTGAGTGCGCTGTGGTCTGTAGATCAAACGAGTTCTCAGACGACGAACTGTAATTCGTGTGACCTGAATTAAAGTGAAGGAAACAATAAGCAGCTTGTAAGATTCTGGTAAATCAAATGTCAATTTGTCGAAAGTAAAACGCATCGTTAAAAATATTGACATTTTATCTAGTTAATTTTATTCCTAGTTAGAAACAAACACTGTTGCCAACATAAGTCGAGGAGTCCTCAACCGTAATTTAGTTTAAACTATGACGCTTCTCTATGTTGTCTGATAAAATCTAGAGTACTGTTTTGACTCTTGAATAAAAATAAAAAAAAACAAATAAATAGAATTTATTAAATTTTCAGATTCAGTGTTACAAAGCGGCCGAATACTGCTTCTGCGTGCACGAAGACACCGGCCAGAACATCCCCGGCACCTCCGTGAAAAACGGCAAGCCCCAGTGCGACCAACCTCCGAACGTAAACCGCCCCATGAAGGGCTGTCCCTTCGAGAAAAAGACAATTTTCTTGCGGGACCTCCTGCAGTTCTTGCACGTGCGCATGAAGAAGAACAACGACACCAAGAACCTGAACAGTCTGCCGTGGATGTCCTCCAAGGAGGAGCAAGCGGCCACTTGGAGTTTCGTCGACTTCGACAAAAACAAGAACAAGCTGCTGGACAGAAACGAGTGGAAGCTTTTCAAAGAGGTTGTATCCAAGGAGAAGAGTCTGAGGAAGTGCGGGAAGAAGTTGCCCAGGTACTGTGATATAAACAAAGATCGACACATCAGTATGACGGAGTGGATGGACTGTCTGAATGTACAGAAGGGTAAGTGTATTTTTTGTTGTCGGGTTGGCAACATATTGAAAATTTCAGCATTGCCAACTTAAATTATTTGTGTTTTTGTTGCAGAAACGATTACAAGGCCCCCTATGTCTCCCAGAACCGGCAAGAAAAATCCGTTGGATGTGTTGATGGAAGACTAGTGATTTTGTGACGTAGTTGTTGACAGACTGGATGACCCAGCTTTATTCGGACCGGCGAAAGCCACGGCAACTCTTGTGATTATAGTGTAGTGTATAGCTTTCATCTTATCGTAATGCATCGTGCTTATTTATTCTCAAGTGTATTAACAACCTGGCAGTGGTTGTTAAGTGTTTTATCCAAATTTTATTGATCCTCTCGGAAAGCTTTGTTGATGGATTTTTAGTATAATTAAAAACCACTTTGTTATTGTCTGACTATTTAAGAAAAATAAAGAATGAATATTATTTACACTTTAATTCACCAATACAATTACGCTGTCCATTTGAGGCACCTAGTGTCCATATGGGTCTCCATACACTTAATACTACAGTACCTCATCCCACACGCCACACACGAGTAGTGTCCAAAGTACCCACAAACGGCACAAAAGTGCCTCGGAGGCAAACTTGACTCCTCTGAAGCTACGTCTATGTAAGACACCCGACCCGTCATCTCGGCTTCCACGCGGTCTTCGTCCACAAGTTGCTGAAAGTTCTTCCGAAACTTGGTTTGGTAATACTCGGCCGTGCGCTCCCTCTTCTTCGTCCTAGTCGATCTCTGCTCCAAGTTGTCTTCGAATTTGGGCACCTTCTTGCTCATTACTAGGTCGGCGTGGGGATCGTCTTGGTAGTTGTCGGACTCCAGGAGCTCCATGATTTTCCTGTGGCGACGCCGTCGTTGAGTTTCGTCAATCACTCTGCGTTTGTCGCCTTCTTTTATGCGGCTGGAGCCGCGTAGCTGCGACGGTTTGAGGGATTTCATCATGTTTGGGGCTGATTTTTAGCTTCACAGGTTAGTTGTTTACGGGTAAGATGTGAGGTTAGGTTAGTTGAATAGCAATGACAGGGCGGGAATTTTAAATTATGAAACATTGCAAGGCAAGGAAAGGCGAATAATAAATATACAAACGCAAATGAGCAAAAATTTAGTCTCAAAATTGAAGTTTTTCGTTGAAATTTGGGTAAAATTTCCTTTTGGGTTCAGAAAATCTCGAAAAAGGGAAAAATCACTCGGGTTGGTAATACTGTCAACATTATTGAAATGGTGAGAGGCAGAGGCGCCGACCTATAGAATTTTTAGGGGGCAAAATGTGATGATATTATGACAAATAAATCTTATTAGTATGTAGTACAATCGCACCCAAATGTTTTGAGCCTATGGGCGGATCGTTTTTGCCTGCCCTCACCGAAGAAGGCGGTCCAAATCCTTCAAGGGCAGAATTTGTAGGTAGGCTCAAACTACAACGAAATTCACATTTTACCCTATAAAATTTTATTGACAATAACGGGACGGACAGTAGTTACATATACATTTGGTAAGAAATATTTATGGCTCACACCAGTTCTCTGGAATTTGTCGGAGAAGATTTAGCAGGTAGTTGTTCCCATAAAATAATGGTCACTTTCGTTCGTGAGTAACCATGGTGCGGACATGAATTATTTTGCTTTCTAACATCTTTCGACCAATTGTTCCGTATAAAAAATTTCATCACTTTTTCAAATAAAATACTCTTAAAAAAAAACGATATTGTCGTTGAGTGACATGTAACCGGCATAATAATAAAAACGTGCCATTTTTGTTAACTGATATGTTTTTCATAAATGTCGCAAAATTATTAAATTTGTCTAATCATCCCCACCAATAATGTGATGACGTCACTTGAAATTTATGCATAGTAAATGGGTTTTAAATTGTATACAGTAACATAGTCCTACACATGTAGTTTATGACTCCGTGTTGAATTTTTATCCGAAACGTCCAGATTTTTGGAAAAAAAATTAAAATTATAAAACAATATTTTGCAATTTAATTTTGCATTTGCAAAATCGAATACTTTGAAATCTTGCAGATGTTTTAAAATGATGATAAACATGATACATTTTTAATTAAAATATATTTGCTTATCCCCTCTAAAAAAATTTTGACGTCACCTCAAAGTTTTGCAGAATAAATCCTATCTTAAATGTATAAAATATGATGAGTTTTATACTTGTGATTTATCACTGCATTAATATTTTTTAGATTTGGTTATACAGGCTGTCTCAAAAAAGTTAATGACTGAGTCAATTTATTTTATTGAAGAGATCAAGAATAGCAAAACTGAATACTTTGAAATATTGTAGATGTTTTGAAGTTTTTGTAAGCATGGTAAATTTTCGAAAATTTGATTAATCAAATATGCGCAAAATCAAAAATCGGAAAAACTGAAATTCACTAATGCAAAAAACAGAAAATCGAAAAATACAAATCGTAAAAATCGAAAATCTAAAAATGGCTAATCAAAAAATCGAAAATTCAATGAATCAAATACCTAGGTCGATCGAAAAGTGGAAATTCACAAACCTCAAAAATCGAAAAATCGAAAATTGAAAAACGGGAAAACCAAAAAATCGAAAAGTCAAAAATTTGTAATATTGAAAATTAAAAAAATCAAAAACAAAAATAAAAAAATCGGAAATTTAAATAATCAAAATATATAAAGTAAAAAAAATTTCAAAGCCTAAAAACTGAAACGAACAGAAAAATCGAAAAAGCAAAAAATTGGAAAAACAAAAATTCGAAAAATCTAAAATCGAAAAAGTGGAAAATCGATGAATTCAAAAATCGAAAATTCGACTACTCAAATTTTCTAAAAATCGAAAAATCATAAAACTGAAAAATCCAAAATTCTAATCATCGAAAGTCTGAAAACTGAAAATCGAAAATTCTGAAAAGCGGAAAATAGAATATCGAAAAATTTAAAAGAAAGAAAATTGAAGTCTAAAAACCGAAGAATGGAAAAATTAAAAATCAAAAATTCGAAAAATCAGAACCGAAAAATTCAAAGATTTAAAAAGAAAATCGAAAAATCAAAAATCTGAAAATTGAAACTCAAAAATTTGGAAAATCGAAAAGTAAAAAAATTGAAGTCTAAAAGCTGAAAAATGGAAAACTGAACAATCGAAAATTCGAAAATCAAATATCGAAAAATCGAAAAGCCGAAAAATTGAAAATTCAATGAATCTAATACGTAGGTCGATCGAAAAACTGGAAATTCACAAATCTGAAAAATCGAAAATTTGCAAGATTGAAAAACCGAGAATTGAAAAATCAAAAAACCGAAAATTCGAAAATTCATAATATTGAAAACTCTAAAAGTCGACAATTCAAAAATCAAAAAACTGGAAAGTAAAATAATCGAAAAATCGAAAAGTAAACAAATTGCAAAGCCTAAAAACTGACGAACAGAAAAATCGAAAAATCGAAAAATCAAAAAGTGGAAAATCGAAAACTGGAATTTGAAAAATCGAAGATTGGAAAATCGAAAAATCGAAAATCGGAATATCGATAATCGACAAATTAAAAAACCGAAAAATCGAAAGATTAAAAAATCGGAAATCGAAAAATGAAAAAAAAAACGTAAATTCAAAAATCGAATAATCCGAAACTAAAATAATAGAAAAGTGGAAAAGTAAAAATTGCAGTCTCAAAACTAACGAACAGAACAATCGAAAAATAAAAAAAAATCGAAAAATATTTAAACATGGAAAGTCGAAAAATCGAAAATCGGAAAATGGAAAAACCGAAAAATTGAAAATCGAAAATTCGATGAAACAAATACTCGAAAAAGCGAAAAGTAAAAAAATTGCAAGGCCTAAAAACTGAAAAATCAAAAAATCGAAAAAATGAAAATCGAAAAAACGACGATCGAAAAAAAATTAAAAAATCGAAAAGTGGAAAATCGGAAAGTAACAAAATTGAAATCTAAAAGCTGCAAATTGCAGAACCATAAAAACTGGAACAAACAGAAAAATCGAAAAACCACAAAAGCGGAAAAACCAAAATCGAAAAATCGTAAAATCAGAAAATGGAAAATCGAATGATCGAAAGTTGAAAAATCGAAGGTCGAAAAATAAAACAACCGAAAAATCGAAAAATTTTTGATTAATGGAAAATCGAAAAATCGAGAATAGAAGAATTAAAAAACGGGAAAATCGAAAAATCGAAAATCGAAGAATTAAAAACGTAAAATCGAGAATTCAAAAATCAAAAAAATCGAAAGTAAAATATAATCGAAAAATGCAAAAAAATTGCAAAGTCTAAAAACTGACGAACAGAAAAATCAAAAAATCTAAAAATGGAAAGACGAAAAATCGAAAATTGAAGGAATGGCAACTTAAAAAATCGAAGCATCGAAAAATCAAAAAAACGAAAAAACTGTCAACTCGAAAAATCAAAATACCGCAAATTTGAAAAATCAGAAAATTAGAAAGTAATAAAATCGAAAAGTTGATAGAAAAATGGAAACTGAAAAATCTAATTCGATGAAACTGTTGGTCGAAAAAACGAAAAATCGAAAATCGAAGTGACCTTTTTTGAGACAGGCTGTATAAGTAAATCTAAAAAATATTACTGCAATGATAAATCACAGGTATAGACTCATCATATCAAATTTTACGATGACGTCATGCATTTTTTGGCGAAGATAAGCAAATACATTTTGATCGTGGCTTTGAAAGTATTCTTCGACTTTCGTTCCATTTCAAAATTTACTCTTTGTATATGTCAGTGGTCACAACGAGTTCACTAACTACGCTGAAGTATGCAAAGATTAAATTTGTCACCGAAAAGATGTCGGAAGTGATAAATTATCCTATCGGTCGAAGAACGTTCGGTCTGGTGTTACACCTCGACCCAAGAGAGACCGCAGTAAAGGATAACAAATGGAACGGATAAAATAAAGCGTCAAATATGACTGATAAACTTTAAACCAAAATTATGAAGTTTATAAACTGAACATTTTTTTGCTTTTTGAAATGTAGTACACTTCAAAAAATGTCCGTGACTTACTTTAATGTGAATTTTATAACTATGGTCGGCACAATTAGACCTGATATTAGTGTGATTTTGAGCAAGTTCTCGATGTTATTAGAGCAGGACAGGTTTTTTTTTCTAACTAATTGACAAGATTTCAAAGTATTCAGTTTTGCAATTCTTGATTTCTTCAATAAAATAAATTGACTCAGTCATTTTTTTTTGAGTCACCTGTATGTATAAACAAATCCAAAAAATATTAATGGAATGGTAAATTACAAGTATAGACTCATCATATTCTAAACATTTTAGATAGGATATTTATAAAATTAAAACTAATTCAGGGTAAGAATTTGGTCAACACGTAAATTTCGTTGTAGTTTGAGCCTACCTACAAATTCTGCTCTTGGACGATTTGGACCGCCTCCTTCGGTGACGACCGGCAAAAATGATCCGCCCATAGGTTCAAAACATTTGCGTGCGATTGTACCATTTGATACTAACTGAATTTAAAATAAAATGCTTAATCCATGATTGCTTTGAGTTTGGCAATCTCATTTTGACAATTGTGGAAAAAGAGGTTACGCGCGTGTGCATGGTGGTACTGCAGCCAGTCGGAAATCTCCTCCGGCGCCGCTAATAAATTTTTCAGTGTGCCTCTTGATCTTTTGCAACCGATTAATCACGAGAAAATTATTTCTAAAAATTCCTTTTACGGAATTTTATTCAAAGGTTACAACACAAACTCAAGCAAGTAAGTAAATAATTTAACTACTAATCTGTTGAAAATGTTGGCATTTTGGGGGAATGCTACGGCTTTTTTGTAAATGGATGGCCGAAGAAGTCCAGAGGTTGCAGATTTGCACTTCGAAGAGGCTCACGGTGACGCAGAGATGGCGAATTAACACATGCACATTAGCGGCGAACAACATTGGTAGAGCACTTACGGCTTCAGTATAGCCCAGATTGATCTGACTGTATGTCATCGATCAAATGGGGCTCTAGAGGCGAGTCAACGATGAAAAAAAATGTTAAAAATTAATTAACGTCAAAGTGACACTGCCCAAGTCATGGATTAGGCATTTCATTTTAAATTTAGATAATATCAAGTGGTACAGGGTATTAGTATATTGGGTTGCGTTAAAAGAATTTTCAGAAGTAATTCTCTCGTGATTAACCCTGTATATACAATGCTATCGAAAAAACGCAAAATTGTACAAAGATGGAAAATCGAACAATTAAAAAGCAACTTGGAAAATCGCAAAAATAAAATATCTGCGAACTAAAAAATCGAAACACAAAAATTTTACTGAAAATTAAAAATCATAATGAAAATCGAGAAATCGAAAATGTAAAAACGAAATACGGAAAATCGAAACATTAACAATTAAAAAAAACAAAAATTTAAAAATCTCGAAAGGACAAACTTATTAAAAGTGAAATTTGAAAAAATCGAAAAATCGGAAAATTGTAAAATTGTAAAATTGAAAAATCCAAAAATTAAAAACTGAAAAATCGAAAAGAAACATTGAAAAACCGAACAGTTTAAAAATTGAGAAATCGAACAACTGCAAAAATACAGAAACTCAAAATCGAATAATTAAGAGGTCAACAATTGGAAAAAAAGACAGTTGATGAAAGATGAAATGAAAAGAGTCGGATTGAAATATCATCGTTAGAGATTGGCAATAGTTAACCTAAGTGTTAATGAATTTCAATAATTTTCTTCATCAATACCATCCATGCTTTTCAACGAACGTAATAACTATATCTAATCTCAAAATATATTTCTGAATGCCCCTGTTTCAGAATGCAATGATACACCACTGGTGTCTCCTTGTACCATGACAGGAGGAAGAAATTTAGTGCATATTTTGACAAATATTTCTCCATATAAATCCGACTTTAGACTGGTTGTTACCACATTTACTCAGATATGATAAGGATAGCAGTCTGTTAATTTATGTGTGTTAGTTAATATTGGATTTTGGAAAGTATAGTTCAAACCTCAAAATAAACCGCCAAATTCGGTTGAGTTTGTTCCTTAGGGACTTTCTGTTTATTACTAAATAGTGTTGGTGTGAGTGCTTGTTAAAATTATTCGATTCAAAATTACGAACAAAAAAGTGGTGTTTTTAAGTGCAAAAACCAGTTCCTGCCCAATATTCGAAGTGTTTTCAGGTACGACTTACGTTTATTATAGTTTTTACACATTTTTCTAACATAACCTCAACCACTTGGCAAAAATCAAACAACCGCTTCAGCGGCCCCAAGATCCGTATCCTCTCAAAATAAAACTCGTACAAATTATACAAAAATATATTTTTTGTTGAAGTTAAGACACATCAATAAGCTCAGAATTCTTTTTGCTGGCGTGAAATTTCGCCATTTCTCGCCTCGTTTTAACCAGAACCCTGTGACCAGCACAGTCTAGATTTTCAACGTAACACTTATTTTTACAACACTTCTTGCAAAGCTGATACACACATTTAGAGCCCTGGAACAAACCTCGCGTAAAAAACAAACTAAACAAACCGCCTGACTTACTAATGGGTTAACGCATTTTGCACATTTGAGCAGAGACCTTTCGGATTGCAAAGACTCGAGTTTTTGCGGTCTTCTACCGATTCTTCGCAGTTTCTTCATCCGCTTTCTACTGATCTGGTTACCTTCGCTGTCTTCATAGTGTCTTTTGGATTCCTGCTTCTAAAAATAATAAAATTAATTGAAAGCCTATTGAAGTTTTGGAATTTTACGTTTGAATTTTCTTCCATTTTCTTTAGGTGTTCTTCAGGGCATGCGCGCACGTATGGTTGGCATAACCACGGTGGAAGAACTAAATTTTCACAATTGGCCTCAGTGGTGTCGGTCCATAAGCTCTCTCCTTCGTGAAATGGCTCATACATGTCTTTAATAACATTGATAATTCGCCTAAATTCGCCCATGTTATTGGCAGCCCCTAACTGAATTCTCAAATTATTGTTACTTGGAATGGACAACCTACAACAATTGTGTGTTTTATTGTTTCATTCTGTCAAAATCATCTCTCACACATGATGGAACAATTTAAATAAATGCCCCCGGATGTATGACATAGGACAAGGATATTGATCCACGAGATCCAGATATTCTAAAGCAGGCACCCACGCTGGTGGATTCTGCCGCATAAATAAGGCTGGATTGTATAAATTCCCTTCGGCTGTCATCACAGCAACAGCGCCGGTTTCTTCAAGGCACCTATCCACATCTTCCATACACTGGATATTCCCATTAGAAATGACCGGAATATCAACAGCTTCCCTAAAATCTAATTTTATTCCAGAAAACTACTGATAATTTAAGTACCTCACTGCCTTTACATAGCCCCAATCAGCGAGCCCCGTCAAGGGTCCTTTTTGCTCCCTTGTCCTCCCATGGACCGTCAACATTTTACACCCAGCTGACACTAACATTTTAGCATAACTAACCGTCTTCTCCACACTCTCAAACCTTCTCACTTTACAAGTAATCGGTACTTTGACCTTAGAACTCAATAAACTAACTAGAAAAAAATCGTTTGGCATTACAACGTCAGTGTAAAAACGTTATTAGTGTTACCCATTTCGTGAAGCAAAGGCCATTCATCTTGCAAAAAAGCCCCATAGTGCCCCCTTTTTGCGATGGCCTGGGGGCACCCCAAATTAATATCGATCGCGCTGCAGTGGTCCTGGGCCAGTAAAGCCGCCTCCAGCATGATCTTGGGGTCGTTCCCACAAAACTACGCAATTATTTTTTGTTTTTAATTGTGAGTTAGTTGGTGTTACCTGAACAATTAAAGGTTTGTCTGAGTCACACGACGCTAAAGCCTCGTTCCGGTATTTGGAGTCCTTGGCGAAAATAGCACTGTGCAGCATGGGGGTGTAGCACAGCTGAGCCCCGTATTTTCGGCTGAGGAGTCTCCAAGGCAGTTCGCTGGCGTCCACCATGGGGGCTACTATTTTGGTGGGGGCCCCCAGGGTGTCTCGCCAGAAGTCCATGGCTGTGTTAAACTAAATTGTTTTGGTTGAGCACCACACGGTCTAGATAACCTCACATTGTTCAGGTGTTGAACTGTCAATGAAATGTCATTGGTCTGTGGACAGGGTGCCACTTTTGCGGACATGCGCTATACGTGTCCAGTTAAAATAATTTCCATTATAATTATTTCTAATTTCTAATATAAATAATAATAGTAATATAAGAAATATTGTTTGTTCATTTCATCTTCAATATTATTGTTTTCATTTGTGTGGTCAATTTTTTCAGGTTTCAATGTTATAATTTTTAGTTTCTGATTTTTTCGTTATCCGATTTTTTATTTTCGCTATTTTTGAAACATTTCGGTATTTCAATTTTTTTTATTGTTCAATGTTTAATTTTTTCAATTTTTCAGTTTTCGATTTCTAGAAAATTCTGTTTTCCGTATTTTTTTATTTCTGCATTTTTAATTAATCAGTTTTTCTATTTTACAGTTTCTTTTTTTTTCAATTTTTCAAATTTTCGGTGTTCCAAGTTTCGTTTTTTCTGTTTTTTAAATTTTCAGTTTTTTCATTTTTAAGGTTGCAATTTCCTTTCCAATTGTTGACCTCTTAATTATTCGATTTTGAGTTTCTTTATTTTTGCAGTTGTTCGATTTATCAATTTTTAAATTGTTCAGTTTTTCAGTGTTTCTTTTTCGATTTTTCAGTTTTTATTTTTTTGATTTTTCAGGCTTCAGTTTTACAATTTTCCGATTTTTTGATTTTTTAAAATTTCACTTTTAATAAGTTTGTCCTTTTTAATTTTTGTTTTTCTTTAATTGTTAATGTTTCGATTTTCCGTATTTCGTTTTTATATTTTCGATTTCTCGATTTTTTAGTTTTGCGATTTTCATTGTGATTTTTATTTAGGTATGTTCGATTTTTTAATTTGCAGAAATTTTATTTTTCCGATTTTCCAAGTCGCTTTTTAATTTTTCGATTTTCCATCTTTTTACAATTTTTCGTTTTTTCGATTTTTCAATTTGTCAATTTTTAAGGTTTCAGTGTTACAAATTTTCGATTTTACGTTCTTATTTTTTTTTTTTAATTTACAATTTTGTAATTGTTTCATTTTCAAATTTCTCGGTTTTTAAATTTTTCGGTTTTTCAGTGTTTCGTCTTTTCGATGTTACAATTTTACAATTTTTACATGTTTCTTTTTTACAATTTCTTAATTTATTGGTTTTCCGGTTTTTGTTTTAAAATTTTTGGATTGTGAAATCAATTTTTTTTTGTATTTTTGATTGTTTAATTTATAGAAGTTTTTGTTTTTCGTTTTTTCAATTTTTCACTATCTCGATTTTTAATTAATCAGGGTTTTCAGGTTCCAATATTACAATTTTGAGTTTCTTTATTTTTTCAATTCTTCGATATCTCAATTTTTAAATTGTTGGTCTTTCAGTGTTTCTTTTTAATTTTTTGATTTTTCAATTTTTCAGTGTTACAATTTTCAGATTTTTTGATTTTTTAAAATTTCAGTTTTAATAAATTTGTCCTTTTGTTGAAAAATTAAAAAATGAAAAATTGAGAAAGTAAAAAATTAAGTACTTTCAAGTAGGTAATTCCAAATTATTTTGTTTCTTCGATTTTTTGATTTTTCAATTTGAGATTTTTATATTTTTCGTTTTCTTAATTGATAATTTTTCGATTTTTCCGTATTTCGATTTCTCCATTTTTTAGTTTTTCGATTTTCATTATGAAATTGTTGCATTTTTCAGTAAAATTTTTGTATTTTTCGATTTTTTAATTTGTTTTTTAACTTTTCGATGTTCTATCTGTTGAATTTTACAATTTTTCGTTTTTTCGAATTTCAATTCCTGGATTTTTAATTTATCACTTTTTCAGGTTTCAATGTTACAAATTTTCGATTTTACAGTTTCTATCTTTTTTTCAGTTGTTCCCTTTTTTAATTGTTTTTTCGTTTCCCAATTTTCAGTTTGCCAATTTTTTCAATTTTTCGATTTTCAAGTTTGGTTTTTCAATTTTTGAATTTCAATTTTTCCATTTTTAAATTTGCCGATTTTTAATTTTTCACTTTTTTCAAATAATTATTAGAGTTTTTATTATTCCAGTTTTGGCTTTTCCATTTACCGATTTTTCAGTTTCAGTATTTTTTCAATTCTTCGATTTCTCAACTTTTAAAATTTTTCGGTTTTCAGTGTTTCGTTTTTTCGGTGTTACAATTTGTTAATTTTTCCATGTTTCGTTTTCACAATTTCTTAATTTTTTGGTTTTCCGGTTTTCATTTTAAAATTTTTGAATTTTGAAATTTTTTTTTTTTGCATTTTTGATTGTTTAATTTATAGAAGTGTTTGTTTTTCGTTTTTTTTTTCAATTTTTCACTTTCTCGATTTTTAATTAATTAGGGTTTTCAGGTTTCAGTATTACAATTTTTCGATTTTTCAATTTTTTTTCAATTATCCCATTGTTCAATGTCTCAATTTTTACTTCCCGAGCGTAAGCAAAGGAAGTATTGTAATCGAGTCCGTCGGCCAACTCTCTGCTTTTACGTTTTCTCGATCTTTCATGACCCCTAGAAGACGAAGAAATAGGTCTCCCATTTCCGTCTGTCTGTCCGTCCGTCTGTCCGTCCGTCTGTCCGTCTGCCGTCCCGGATTTTTATTAGACAGATAATCTCCGAAAGTACTCGACCGATTGTTGTCAAATTTTGTACTTATATTAAGAATATCATGTAGATGGTAAAACGCTAACCAAAATTTGTCGAATCATCCCCACCACTAATGCGATGACGTCACTTCAAAATTGTACATAGTAAATGGGTTTTCAATTGTATAAAATAACATAGTCCTACACATGTAGTTTACAACTCTGAATCGACTTTTCACCCGAAACGTCCAGATTTTTGGAAAAAAAATCAAAATTATAAAACAACATTTTGAAATTTAATTTTTAATCTGCTAACCAGAATGCTTTGAAATGTTGCAGATGTTTTAAGGCTATAAAGAGCATCATAAATCTTTAGTCAAAAAATATTTGCTTATCCCCTCCAAAAACTTGATGACGTCAGCTCAAAAGTTTGTGGAATAAATCATATCTAAAATGTACAAAATATGATGAGTCTGTACTTGTGATGTATCACTCCATTCATATTTTTTGGATTTGCATATACAGGGTGACTCAAAAAAATTAATGAATGCGTAAATTTATTTTACTGATTTACTCAGAAACTACAAAACCGAATGCTTTGAAATCTTGCAGATGTTTTAAGGTTATAAAGAGCATAATAAATGTTTAGTCAAAATATATTTGCTTATCCCCTCCAAAAAATTGATGACGTCAGCTCGAAAGTTTGCCGAACAAATCCTATCCAAACTGTAAAAATATGATGAGTCTGTACTTGTAATTTATCACTCCATTCATATTTTTTGGATTTGCATATACAGGGTGACTCAAAAAAATTAATGAATGCGTAAATATATTTTATTGATTTAATCAGGAACTACAAAACCGAATGCTCTGAAATCTTACACATGTTTTAAGGTTATAAAGAGCATAATAAATGTTTAGTTAAAATATATTTGCTTATCCCCTCCAAAAACTTGATGACGTCAGCTCGAAAGTTTGCCGAATAAATCATATCTAAAATGTACAAAATATGATGAGCCTGTACTTGTCATTTATCACTCCATTCATATTTTTTGGATTTGCATATACAGAGTGACTCAAAAAAATTAATGAATGCGTAAATATATTTTATTGATTTAATCAGGAACTACAAAACGGAATGCTCTGACATCTTGCAGATGCTTTAAGGTTATAAAGAGCATAATAAATGTTTAGTCAAAATATATTTGCTTATCCCCTCCAAAAACTTGATGACGTCAGCTCAAAAGTTTGCCGAATAAATCGTATCTAAAATGTACAAAATATGATGAGTCTGTACTTGTGATTTATCATTCCATTCATATTTTTGGATTTGCATATGCAGGGTGACTCAAAAAAATTAATGAAGGCGTGAATTTATTTTATCGATTTAATCAGGAATTACAAAACCGAATGCTTTGAAATCTTGGGAATATTTTAAAGTTATTATAAGCATGGTAAACTTTTGTTCAAAATGTATTTGTTCATCCCTCCTAAAAAAATTGATGACGTCACCCTTAAATTTTGCTGAATAAATCCTATCTAAAATGCAAAAAATATGATGAGTTTGTACTTGTGATTTATCATTCCATTCATATTTTTTAGATTTTCTTAAGAGGTGGTTCAAATAAATTAATGAAGTCAATTTATTTTATTGATTAAATTAAAGGCAACACTTATTATTAGTATTACACCCCAACCAACCCAATTTGGTAGACACAAAATTTGTTAAAGGAAAAACTCGGTTGAAACATAAGAGTAGTACGCTTATTTACATCGACTTTAACATTACAGACCTGCATTTGTTTTATGCGGTCACTTGGTTCCGCGAATGCGAAATAGACATGTTTATAAATTGTGAATTTCACCGTCAAGAATTAAAATAAAACCCAATGTTTTATATAATAAGCGGAAGTCGAAGCAATGAAACCGATGGTCGTTTTGTTTACAGTTTCTCTGTTTGGCTGTCACGTATGCTGTTACGCTTGTCATCTTAAATTAAGAATGTTTATACATAAACGATTTTCAGTTGCCCCTCATATTACTAGACAGCGGATTTCTGTCGGGCTACGTCACGGTTATAGGGGGGGACGTGCTGGATTCCATAAATATAATTAACGATTTATTAATCAAACGGCTAAGTAAATGAGAACGGGAATTAACAGCAGAGTGCAACGAAACAACGTTATTCTAATCTCAAATAAACGAAGTGCAGTCCGCAACGGCAATGAATTCGCATCCCGTGCGAGCCGTACCGAGTTTGGCCTTGCCTAGCCCGACAGAAATCCGCTCTCTAGATATTACACACCGGCGCCGTATACGTGAGTAAATTGTTTCGTTATTTTATTGATTATAAGAAATCAATATTCAAAACGACCCAATTCATTTTCCCGAAAATTTGGGAACACAATAATTTTATTCTGAGTATTACACTACATCTATCCCAACTGATATACGTGTCCTT